GTGACTCAGCAAAATTACTGTGCATGAGTGAAGTGTGGAAGGTTTTATGTCATTATTTAAATGGTAAAAACATCAATATAGCAAACTTTTGGGAATAGAGCACCAGAGGCCTGAGAGGCAGCACAAGCAACCTGACACCTAATTTAGCATCAAAACTATTACTTCAGGTATGAAAGTAAATTACATGTTTAGGTTTAATCTAAGCAGGAGACAGGTGATGCTTCTTCACAGCCACAAACATGTAGGCGCTGTGGTGTGGTGAAGTGAGACAGTGTGGGAAGCTATTGACAGGATTTCATCCTGACTCAGCTAAAGGAGTTGCCCACAGAAAGCTGTTCCAAGTTCCACTGCTGGTACAAAAATCTGTTCTGATATGATGATACATTGCATTTTTGCACAGCAACATATCAATCTGCGTGGTTCTTCAAGTGCTTATGATCTTACTAAATATTTAAGTTGGTCTAAATGTTAAAAAAACACTGCACTTCAATATGGAAAATTATTTTTCAGGTAAGTAATTATTACTAAGTCAGGTTAAAAGAAATTAAAATAAAATATCATTCAAAGATATTTGAATGATATAAAATATCATTCAAAGAGTACCAGGGGCTAGCTAAGAATGCACTCTATTTTGATTGAGTAGTGAGTCTAATTTTACTCAAGGGCAGCAGATGAAATGTATTCTATTTAGACTGTCATTTTTATTTCTGAGAACTGTGTCTAAGATTTAACTTAGAGTATATAAAGAGACAAGTTAGGTTGTATATACCATATCTATATCCCAAGTGCATATTAATAGTAGTATATTATAAAAATTCAGGAAAAAAAGGTATGCATAAATGCATGTTACAGACATTAATCTGTTGTGAAGATGCTTTTAGCCTGTGATGAGACTACATTGGATTATGTTTGTATTTACAAGGCTAAGTTCCAAAGCAAAACCAAATATGTAGTTGCTTTTCTCACTGACGAGTGTCTGGCTACATTTCCTTTGGTAAGGAAAAGACACTAATTACTAGCTCAAATTTCACAACCACCCTAGGCTTCTTGAGCAGGTTTTTTGACAAGTCAGTGGAGGAAAAAATTATAATTAAACATTCTCAAAAGGTTACTTGTTGGACTGTAGGTGGACTGTAAATTCTGGTGAATATGTTGGGTTGTTTCTTTCAACTGATAAAATTTAAGGTGTTGTCTTTTAAGTTCTTCTCTAAGTAAGTTATTTCTGAGGGCCTTGCATTACTTTTAGCAGTCAAAGACATTCAAGAGCAGAAGAGCAGATCCATTCTTCAGTTCTAGTTCAAGAGCTGACTTCACTTAAATCAGCTGACCTAGAATAATAGTATCAGGCTACTTTTCTTGTTTGGTGACAAGATTTTTTTTTATGTCACCTGTCTGTTAAAATGTTTAGTATCTGGAAACTGCTCTCATTTATTAATCTATGCCTACAGGCATGTGAAAAAAATGGATTAGGAAACTAGATGAAGATATATTCTTGTCTTGAAAGCATGTAAAGGAACAGGCTGAATAAACATGGAGGTGATTATGAAAGAGGATGCTGAATTCTTGCATGCCCTACAAACACTGATTTAATTTTGTCTGTTTATAAATACTCTGTATCCAAAGATCTGAGAGGGCTTTGTAATAGTGATAATCAGCCCTTGCAGTATCCTTCCCTGAGAAGTGACACATTGGCACAGCCACATGCAGGAGGTTTCTTAGAGGTTAATTGCCCAGTATCACAGAACAGCTGGTGTCAATGCCAAAAATAAAAGCAGTCCTGCTGCTCAGTTTAAAACATAAGGAGAAGCAGCAAGGAACAAGATGTCTATGACTGAGGGAAATTTTATATAGATGTAGCTGTACCAGCATCCATCAGATGGCTTAGCATGGACAATGTGAGTTATAACATAGCACACAAATCCTTTGTTTTGTAACTTTTCTTCAGATATAGTGGCACAGCAGCATCTACAGTTCTACATCCTCATACAGGTGGATGGGCAAGCCCACAAAGCTGTCCTCTCACACAGGCACACCCACTGACAGATGCTGGTTAGAAAAGATTTAGCCATTTGGACAGCATACTTCAAAGGAAAGGAAATATTAAACAGTTTACTTTAGGTCACACTGGCTTGTTTCTTTTCCAGACTTTTCTTCACAAGCTAATAATGCTACATGATGAAAGTAGCTTTGTTGTATACAGTAATGTTTATGTAACAGTTGAAAGCTGGAAGATGAAGGGAGAGAAGAAATCTGAAGTGTTAACTGACTGGATAAACTGAGCTGGTATTGAAAAGATTAAACCCAAAATTTGCACCATGTTACGCTGGTAATTTGTTTAATATCTTCTTAATGAGCAAAAAGATGCTGTCAGTTGCCAGGCTGAGAGCTGAAAGATGTGCCTGCTTCTGAGAGGTGGTAAGTGTAAACGCAAGCATACTTCCTCAGCATATCTGTCCCTGGAGGACTACTTTGCATTCCTTTTTAGTAAAGGCTTCACAGTTAACGCATCCATCTCCCCATTGGAAATATTGCCATTCATACTGGGGCAGTTACAAAGAAGAAAAAGCTGGGATATTTCATGCACTCTAAAGATGGACACATGAAACATAGATTAAGTATTCTGTATGTCCGTGAGCAAAGGTCTGGAACCTGAAAGGTAAGTCTGTGGAAGAGCATATAAAACAAGCACCAAAATTTGTATTCCAGGAGCTCTGAAGTTATGTAAACCATGGTATTAAAATGGCTGGTTTTGCTCATACATGAGAATTTCTAGACAATGCCACCTCAAAAAAAAAAAAACCAAAAAAAAACCAAAACCACAACCAAACCTAAAAAAAACAAAACAAACAAACAAAAAACAAACAAAAAAACCCAAACAAATAAAAAACAAAAACCAAAAAAAAACCAACCAAAAAAGAAATCAAGTGTTGTTAAACCCACTCAAGTTGTTGGAAAAACCCCAAAAGTGTGTATATAATTAGAACCATATTTTACCCCATAAAATGTTATGTTTGTTACCTCCTGAAATATAATAGACTCTGTATTGCTCAGATCCTGTGTTTCTAGGGAAATACTCATGCCGTGTGCTAGAAAGTTACAGAATTTTGTGAGTAATTTTTTCAGTAGCATTTTCTTTTGCTGTTTTTTATATGTGAAATTCTTGCACTTGTTCTTCTGCAGAGATGCAGGTAAATGTAATGCAGTTCAATTGCACTTGAAGTGTACATGATACACTCCTGTATCTCCTGTATCAGGAGATCTGGTAACTGATGGCATCCTTTTGTACACTAAGAAGATATTAAACAAATTACCAGCATAATTTGGTGTAGATTGTGGGTTTAATCCTTTCAAGTGAAACATCAACTACGTTTATCCAGTCAGTTAACACTTAAGATTTCTTTTCTCCCTTCAATTGACTGCTTAATCATGCTAATCTTATGATATGGTTGACTGTGACAAGAAATAAATTAAAGTCAGATCAGTTCAAGTGGATTACAAATGGTTTAAGATGTCTGGATTGAAAATAATGAAATAATTCCTCATTTGAAGTTCCTTGGACAAATGTCTAGTTTGCACTACCTTAGATCACATTATAAATGCCCCTTTAGACACTATAATTACAGGTGACAGACATTCCTGCAAGGGATAATGTAGGATAACTATGTAATATTAAAGCAAAAATCATTATGGAATTATCTTTTAACTGCATCTTCCAACACAATGCAGAGAGCAGGATTGTCCTCTAGGTTTTGCTCTTTAAAATCTCCATGTTTTTATAAATAAGATGTGAGGAAAAAATACAGTATTTAGGCATAAAATATGCTGAACTCCATGTAGCTAATACTTGCTATTTTACTACTTCACGGCTAACATCCCCTCTGAAAAAACACAGCTGATCTTGTGCAGGAAATAACCTCTCTTTCTCTTCCCTCCAGGGGAAGGTAATCACGCTGGAGAAGTCCCCGTGCTCTTCTGTGGAGGGCTGTGCAGAGGGGAGCCTCATCAGTGCCCTAGTGTGGCTCTGTGCTGAGGGAATGGAACATTTCAGCCCAGATCCTCCCCAGGGAGCAAACTGAGCAAGGATTTTCATCTGCACCATTTGGCGAGACAAGGCAAGATTTTTTATTCCAGTGGTGACTCAGGCCTAACCTATGCACTTGGAAATTAGGTGGTTTTAGTTAATTGGTTGCCCAAAATGAGAGCATACCTTAGATGCAAAAATGATAGAAGTTCATAAAGCACACTGGTGCGCCAAGTAGAAAAGTGTCTAGTGCTGGAGGAGCAGGGAAATACCTTATGTTTCTTCACTTGGATGTGCAAAATTAGTGAACATTTTCAGATCATGGCAATGTCCCTGTGCTCAGACTCCTGTTCTCTGATCTGTGGCATGAGGACAGCACAAACATCTGCTGAAGCATTTATGATGGATTATAGGGTGTTAGAGTAACAGGAATAGCACGTAAACATTTCAAATGAAAATATTCATTATCAAAATTAGAGCTAGATCACGCTGAGTATGATCTATGACCACATAGTGAGTAAGAAAAATACAAATGCATGTTGAATAAACAGTGCCAGCTGGTCTTAACAATTTGTAGAAAAATAGTATCCTGTCAAACATATATATACAGGATTAATCTAAACCAAGGATCAACAGGCAATTTTTATTTTAGAGTTCCCTTAGACATTTCTTCCCGTTGAAAGCTTTTCAGTTCTGTTAATGTGTTTTGATTGAGTAAATATGTACGGGGTTTTTCAGATAGTGTAGTATGAATTACAGCCAGAATTAACTGCAGGCTTTCCCATGCTTTCAATTCAAAGTCTATATATAACCTGACGATTTTTCAGCACCCTCTAGAGTAAGCAGAACGATCTAGCAGCCTTTCCTTTCATCTTAGATAGCTGAAGTAATGCCCTCCTCTTTTGGCCATTTTGATGGATTTTCTGATACTCTGAACCTTTAAAAATATTATGGAAGTATTAACACATGATAATTATTTAATAAGTGTTCATATTATAAAAACAATCCTTAAGATACTTTCACGTAAAAACCTTGCTTCAGAAAAAAAGCCAATCGAACCAATTGTTACCTGGCAACGAGGTAACAACAACTACTGAAGTGTAACTTTACAAGCCTGATGCTTTACATACTGTAACTGCAAAGGGAGTCTCTGGAAGAAGACCTGTAAGGTTTAGCCAGTTCTGTGTTCATCAATCTCACTAGAAAAGAAAGTAATTGTTTACATGAGGGTGGATCAGCTTCTTCTGCCTCCCTCACAGATCCTCCACAGTGCTCTCTCCTGTCTGTCTTTCTTCTCTTTACAATTTTCTGTCTTTTTACACTGGGGTTTTATATCTTGGATTCTTGAGTTGCTCCTCATTCCTCTATCAATACTGTCACTTCTTTCTGCAATTTTACTTTTATTATTTTGCATCATTCTCACAATTGAATGAGGTTTTCAGTAGCCTGAGCTAAACGCATGCAGCTCAAGCCTAGCCCTGGGGTCACAGACAGTTGAGTCATAGGAGATTATAAGAAATGATGAGAGCCCACCGGTGTTTCCCCGTGCCCCAGCCTGCTCTGATCTCACACTTGAGATCAGCACAGCGCTCGGCCCCAGCTGAGCTCCCCCAGACAGGGAATGCCAGTGCTGTGAAAGGCAACACCGTCTGGCAGAGCTGCCGGTGCCCCGCCAGCTGTAATTCCAGTGCCTCCCAGAGCACGCCTGGGCTGCTTTGTTGGTGCTGCTAAAACACCAGAATTCAGCTGCAGCAAGGACCCAACAAACAGCGGTACACCAGGAACTCCTACTGGGAAGTTGAGGGTTATGGAAGTTAGATTTCTGTTTCTATGACAGTAAATTTTGTCTTTTAAAGGGTGGCAATGAACTGCCAAGAAAAGGGCGCCATTTCCCTCTCAGTTTACACTGTTGATTCATTATTCATCATGCAGCATTAGAGAGCTTAACTGAAGGTCTCTGAGAGAAGTCTCAAGCAGTACACCATAGAAGTTCAGTAGCTAAGATGCTGTTGATTCTTTAAAAGTGAGATATAACTCAGTCTAAAACAAAGCAGCTTGACAGATTTTTTTTCCCAAAGCATTTGTTTGCAAGAACAATATAAGAAGAATTGAACATGGGCTCGATGTCTGGAAGCTACACTTGATACAGAGTTTTCTATTTTTATCATTACAAATGTCATAATATGTTTGCTGCTGCAACCAAAAACTTCGTTAAACAGGTTGGTGATGGAGGAAGATTAGTTCCCGTGCCCAGCCTCAGTGAAGCTGACAGATACCAACCTCTGAGCCTTGTCATTAAAAAAAGAAAATGTTTGCTTTCAAAAAAATCTAAATTTGCTTCAACACCTTTCACATTAAAAGACATTCTTCAAGGGGAGAAAGAAATTTCTGCAGGTAAGATTTTTATCTGTTTTCAAAGTGGAAAAATGCATGTTTCCTAGTAGACATAGTGAACATAGTCTATACTGTGCAGATAGTATGATGTTTCCTTAGTAAATGGGTAATAACATTTTTCTAGCTTAGTCATGTAATAAATATTTAAGAAAAAAAAATATAAATCAAAATGGTTAGAGAAAAGGAAAAAAAAAGACTTTCTAGGAAAAGAGCAAAAAAAGGAAAGTAATTTGTATTAAAAAGCCTTGATATTTTCTGAACTAGTATTAAACAAATTCAGTTAAGACCTTTTTTTTTTTCCACAAACCTCCAATTCCTGACAGATGTACTGATGTATGTTGATTAATTTTTACATAAAATGTGTTTAGAAATGTACCCTTTGTCTGTATTCTCATTTTTAAGTGTGTAAGAATCAGTTCCACAGCTCTTCCATGCTGGCAGTCCCTGGTGCTGAACTGAGCTCTGAACAGGCAGAAGCATTTGAAAACAGCTATTACATCTGACTGGTGTAATTGGATTTTCATAAGACTTTTTCCATGTTTGCAATCTGTGTGGTGTACTTAAAGAGCTTAACTGGTTTTTAAATTCCTTTTTCTATGCCATAGTGTAAACTTTGAGGACATTCTAATAGAATTATGAATTGCAAAATTGAACTACATGGCCTGTGTCTTCCTATACATTCCTTTGAAAATTGTGTAATTCATGTCTACAGGTTTTCTCAAAACAGTTTCATTGCTTTATTTTTTTTAAATGTTAATTTTGGTAAAATTATTGATAATTTTACTTGCGCAACAAATGTATCAGTTAAAAATTCTACTAAGACAAACTAATATAAGCAGAGGAAATACCACTTGATCCCACAAGAGGGGGGATTTCAGGACACAGGCATGATAAGAAAAATTTTAATCCTATGTCTTACATTCAGGAGAAGTCAGCTGGCTTGTCCTGAATGAAAAAAAAATCAAAAATCTCATTAAAAAGTCTGATAAAAAGGTTGCAAAATCTCATTAAAAATTCTCACAAAACCTTACTAGTCTTTTCTGTAAAGGTTAAATGTCTTGTGCAGAAAGTATTAAGAAAGTCCTTTAACATAAGCAAGGAGGGTTGTAATTGAATTTCCTTTTTTATGTGACAAAGACAAGCATTTTCAATCCTTTTAGAATTATGAAAAAATATATTAACATTCTTTTTGGTTAAAAATAAACACAAACAAGATTCATAGTAGATGACTTCACAGTGGCATCTTATCCTAATATCTTCAAAGGATTAAAAACAAAAAAAGGAGTAAAACACAGATTCGTAGATGTATTGCAAATCTAATCCCTGTGTTCATTTTAATTTGGTAACCAATGTATTCTAGTATTTTTTCTGTTATTGTGAGGAAATGTATTTGATATTATAATGACATTTTTGTAGAGGTGCTTTAGTACCACCTTTAGTTGTACAATAATTGAACGCAAAATGAGTCAGAATCAATCTGTTATTTTCCTTCAAAATAAACTGGCATAGTCCCTGGGCAGAGTTAATGTTACTGGCAGACCCATGTCTCATTCATGTACTGCAAAAATGAAGAAAATTTAGGGTCTTTGTATAGCATCTAGACAGAATTCAGAATTCCTTTTCAGTGGCTTTCATTTTATTCCTAGTTTTAATATTCTGTGTGGCCTCCACTGAGTCATTTTGGGTTTCAGAGCCTTTGTCATTAAAGCCAAGACACCTCATGCCTGGTTTATTTGTATCAGCATCATAGTTACAGTGGAAGTACTCAAGGAGAATAATGATGAACACAGAAATTTGAAAATAGCTCTATTCAAACCCAGAACTCTCATGTACACTTTCCATCAATCATCAGAAGTAACATCAATAAACAAGTGCTCAGTGTAGCTCTGAATTTTATATCAAAATGATTAAGCACAGTAGGAATGGTACCATTTATTCTGGCTATGTGAAAATACTGTGTTAAGACTTTTCATCATCACACAAAGGTTATCTTCTTTTACTCAGGTGTCTCGTCTTACCAGTTGCTCAACTATGAAGACAAATCAGATGTTTCACTTAATGGCAGAAGAGGAAATCAGATAATGAATGATGTTGGTTTTGATGTTGCTGGATCAGATTCCATTGCCTTTAAAGCTTCATTTGGCATAGTGACCAAACATGAAGTTGAAGTACCAACATTACTGAGAGAACTTACTACAAGGTTGTATTCTGTGTTTTGATTTCTGTTTCCATAATTCTATTTCATACAGTTAGGCTGCAAGTCTGAAGTTCTTAGGTTTTGATTATTTTTAGTCAATCAGTAGCAGTTGCCATCTGATATTTTCAAGGGTATCAGGTTGGATCACTGGGATTAGACACATGACTTGTATAATACAGGCTGTAAAGTTTTTCTGAATTCTTTGAATTACAGTGCATGTCTCAGGAAAAAGAAAAAAAAGGAAAGAGTCCATCAAAACTCCTATAGTGTTATACCATAGTATTGAAAATTTGAAACCTACTTTGAATAACATTACCTAACTTCAGGTTCCAGAAATAGGATTTATTTGCCTTTGATGAACTAGAGAGCCATATGTGTTATTGCCATTGTAGGTAATTTGAGGTTTTATGAAGCTATTACACTGCCTTTTCTGCAAAATGCAACATAGGTTTATCTACTTAAATTTTCATAACCTTCTGTAACTTTTCTTTAAATCAAGTCTCTTCTACCAACATTCTTGTTGAGTTGTGGAGACTGAAAATGAACTTCTTGTTTCCTGTGGTGCTAGCACAGATGTCAAATGTGTAGAAATATGATGTGACTAATTCTAGGAGTAATTCTTTTTTTTATATTTCAAAGATTGTCCCTTGGTAACAATGGCATCCCAGTGAATCCCAGCAGTGCGTCGCAGTAAATCATTTACTATGCATGATGCAACATTTGGCATTTGCAAATATATATTGTTACCTTGTTGGTATTTACCAAGAAGTGCATGGCATTTTTTATCTGTAACCTCTCCTTCCCTATTTTCCTAGTTTATTTGCAACCTCCAAATGTTATCATTAATAAATGGGGGTGAGGGAAGAGGACCTAGTCTCCTGAAAGAAAGATTCAGAGATTCAGTGTCATAGAACTAACTGCCACTGTTTGTAGAAATTCTTCTACAGTCACTTGTTTCATGATTGTTCAGTACTGTTTATAAGTGATATAGGTTTTTTTCAGTTAATGGCACTAAGACCAGAGTCAGATGGACAGGCTTTGAATTTTCCAGGGTGTCCCAGATATCCTCTCTAATATCTGTAGAATACTGGCTTTCCTTGAATTTCTTATTTCTGTTCCCAAACAGTGAAAACCAATATTAAGTTTCCAGAGATCTCCTTGGTCAGCTGTTTTGCTGCTATGAAACAGACATTATGGTGATTTATTTACTGATTTAAAGTTACTTAGCTGCTTTGTAAACTGCTAATTATGTCTGAATTTCCTTCCTGCCTCCCTCTTGATTTTAGAAAAATAAACTTTGATCATTGTCTAGTCCATCAATCAAGAAAAAGTAGGATGGAAATTTTGTGTGTGGTCATGGAAAGTATTCGAACTACAAGGCAGTGCTCATTAACTGTCCATACTGGAATGCGTGGAGAGACAATGAGGGTAAATATGTTTGACAAAGTTCTGTAACTCAAATTATCAAGCATAAAAAGGTCATTATGATAAATTTTATGGTTTGATTTAATTGTGTTTTTATAATGTAACTCATAAAAAATCTAAAGTAAATCAATATTATTGTACTAATGTAAAGTGGTTTAAAAGTTGGTCTTTTGTTAGCAGTACTTATATGACAGAGGGATGGGAAATGCATGAAAAGATGGCTAGACAATGAGCCATTGCCTGGGGTAAAGCCTCACCAAAAAGTGGAATTTACTACTTCTTAGTTTGACTTTCTAATAAATGTATAACCTTTCTTTCATTATTATTTCATTATTACAGTCACCTTCTGTAGCACATTGGAATTTCAGGTTATTATTTGAAGGGTTGGCATCTTATTCCCTGTCTTATGCTCTTCCTCCTCCTTCCCCCTTGATGCATTTCAATAATTAAACTTACAAGTCTTCTAACTTTGCTCTTTCTAGTACTAATAAATCATTCACGTAATTTTCACTAAGTGATGCAAATTACTCTCTCTGTATCAAAATTTATTAAAATGCAAAGCAGTTAATAGAAAATTCTTCAGTTGTGAAATTTGATCTTCAATTTCAAAGTTTCCCCCTGGCATTATAATTCTCAATATATGAAGTTAAGATTAGTATTTTGTTTATTTATCCGTTTCCATTTGTAATGTTTTTTTCTTTTGATCCTTCTCTAAATTATAGTTTCAATTAATTGAAGATCAGAATTCTAAAGGGCGGGACAAAGCCATTGTTTTTCCTGCACATACAACTATTGCTTTTAGTGTATTTGAACTCTACATTCATTTGGATGGTAATTTCGGTAAGTGATGTGAATTACTGTCATTACTGCTATTGTTTATAATGATCTAAGTTTTAAAATCTGTTTTATTGCTCTTGATATACAGAAGCCCTGATCCCATACAATGGGATATTTTAATTAGTATTCTGACATTCTGACAGAAATGGTGCTTGCAAAGAAAACAAGGCAGGTGCTAGAAAATAGTTTGCTGTGGGAACATTTCTTAAAAGTTAGACTTGGTATTTTTTAAATTCTGTGGTTGCATGGAACAAAAAGCCCCACTTAGTTATATTTCTAGCTGGTGAGGAACAGGTTTCTGAGATTATCTGATAAGTTTTGTATAAAATAGGCAAGTACAAAGATACAAGTGAAGAAAAAAAGTGTACAGAACTTCTAATAACTTTTTTCCTGTTGGGGCTTTAATTTCAGTCTGATACATCATTTGCACATATAAATATCTAAAGCTATTTAGGTGGAATTAATTGCAGCAATTGCAAACAAATAAAAAATTTGCATAGCATAGATTTTACCTTAAAGTATTTCTTTCAAGTTATGGATAGAATTCAGCACTGGAAGTGGTAAGTACAGAACTCACAGCCTTGCTTACAATGTTTCATTCCTACTTTCAAGTAAAACTACAGAAATGTTTGTCTTTCAGAACCAGGGCTTCCATTGTTATGCTACTGACTGTCCTGACCCCTTAACATGACCAAAATTTGTGTATGAACAAAACAGGCTCTGAGGATTTTAATTGAAAGCCACCAACAGTTAAAAATTCCCATCAAATGTGGGTTGCTTGATTCTGTGAGCTACTACTGTGCGCAGACTTGCATTAGAAAGTTATACTAGCCATTAAAAACATTAGCAAAGCTAAATTTAATCACTGTTAAGTTTATTGATTAGAAAGCATATTAAATTGTTGTGCAATTATGGCTTTTATATTTAGTCCTTTTAAAAACTTTTCGTTTTTGCAGAACTTTGTGTGACTCCAATTGCAAAAGGAGGATTTGAAAGAGAGAAATCTGGATCATCTTCACTGATCAAATTCAGGAGATTAAAGAATAATCTGTTTCATCGAAGTATGACTTTTGATATTTATACACAAATGTCTTATTTAAAAGTGTACCTTTGTTTTTTTAATTTCTGTCCAAGATGAATGTTTAAAGAAAAAAATTTTGACACAAAATGAACCTCTCAATTTCTATTGAAATGAATTGAAATTCTATTTCTGTGTATTGAAATGATTATAGAGTTATTAAAATTTACATTTGGGAACCTATCTCTCAGAAATAACAAATCTGTTCATTAAACTCTAAAGATCTTAAAATGTATGGCTCTTGGTAAACTGGTAGTGAGTAATTACAGAGCTAGCATAACATTGAGCCTATTTCATGTGTTTGCCATTTACAGCTCATATTATACAAGTTATAATTATAGTAATAGTTGAAGGCAAAAGCTGTAATTTTAAATATCAAACAATATTAACTGCAATAATTGAATGTACTCCTTAGGCACTATGTTCCTGTGACAGGATACCATCACAGTCCTCTTTTTTCATTCTAATGTCAACATAGCATCCAACAAAAATGCAGATCCCTGTATGCAGCTTTAGACTAAGATCTTAAACTTGTAACACTCCTTAGTCCAAGTACTTTGGAAATCTGCAGATCTGAGTGTGAAGATAAATTCTGAGCAGCAAACATGTCCCAGAAATGCTGTGATTAGGTGTTCCTCCTCCACTGTAGTCCATTCTTGATCAAAGGACTTTCATGGACCAAGCCTTCAGTGCTGCTGCAGTCCACACAAGGGGAATACATCTTCAGTGGGTATGATACATCTCAGGAGCTGTAGCTGCCTAAATGTTCTTTACTCAATCTAGTAAGTCCCTGAAGAGAGAAGGAAAGGTTCCTACCTGGCACATCTGGATCCTCAGAAATCTGCTAGGAGGTTAACAAGGAGTCCTCTGAGTTTTCTAAACATATTAAGTAGTAGTGGGATTTTTTTTGTAAATAATAGGAAATAAAAGTGAATTTACAATGTTTAGAACATAAAATTAGAAATGCAAAAATAGAAACAAGGAAGTACACTGTGGTTTGACTTTGCACCAATTTCTCAGAAGCCTGCTGCATGCCTACCCTTTAGGTATATTTCTAAAAATATAATTACATAGGTCATATACAAAAATTCTGGCTTTTTTCAGTGTCTTAAGTGAAGTTGAAGAAAAATTTTCATCACACAGGGTTTTTGATGGGAAGCAATCTATATGGCATGCTTAGAACAGTTTTGTGCATCAGTTGTTATTTCTATAATTAAACTTATATTTTTGAAACAACAAATCATATAATATTATAACAAAATACTGCTTCTTTTCCTTGTGTGTTCTTTTTCAGATAAAGGAGTAGTGGAAATCGTTGCTAACTCTGATCCTTACTTGGAAGACCTTTTTACAGATTATTATGAAAAAGCTGCAAGCATGACAGATCTCTCTACAAGCTATCTCAGAGACGGTTCTCATATCCGAATTAATTTACTTAATAACAACATCCCCAAAGGCCCCTGTGTCCTCTGTGGAATGGGAAGTTCAAAAAGGGAGACAGTCTATGGATGCCTGGAGTGTTCTTTTAATGGACAGAAGTATGTACGACTGCATGCTGTGCCCTGTTTTGACCTCTGGCATAAGAGAATGAAGTAACTGATCTGGGTAAGTGCCTGTTATCACAGACATGGGCATAACTGTGCCACAAACTTTTCAGAGTTAGCAAATATGTGACATGCAAAACGGTGAAAGTGCAAAACATTTTATTACGCTGTTTTCTTCAAATTCTGTGCTTTGCAGTCAATGACTTCTACTTTAAAATGCACATGAATTTCCTGACATTGCTGTTTTTCCTAGAACCTTCTCATTATCATGATAATGAAAAACATACTTTTAAATAGTATTTTCATAATGTCAGAATATATGCTAGAACTTAAAGTTGTTTACACAAACTTGTTGTTAAACCCCAAAATGTTGCCTTTCTCTACACTAACATATGATGGTTAAATGAGAATATTTGTTAATAATTCAGTGTTCTCATGAATGTTTAATTGAAGTATCAGATTAAAAAAACATGCTAAAACTTAGCTCAGTCTAATGTTTCAGTTACAAAAGGGAACAACTGGAACTATGGATGGGAGCTTCATATTAGGGTGCCGTTGCCGAATATCAAGTTTGTTTAATTATGAAAAAGAACCAGCCAGTTTACCTGCTGCAGTTGGATTCTGTGTCACAGCTGCTCTTGACTTTCTTTTATATGCTCATAAAAAAAACTGCTTAGCAGAAAATGTTTTGGAAGCTTATGAAAATAACGGAACTGCTCACTCCAACAAGATTTCAGGGGTGAATGTCTTTAACAGGTGCATCCAAGGGAAATTGAGTTGGTTGAGGAGTGGAACACCACAGGGCTATGTCCAGGGCTGGGATTGGGCTGTGGAGCAGGGTGCTGTTAAACCTCTCATCACACTGTTTTGCACTGGCAGAGCGAAAAACCTTTTTATACCTTTTAAAATTATTTCAAGGATAACCCAGGTATGGAAGCTTTTTTCACTTATGCTGCCACTTTCACTGTGTACATCTGATTATTACATGTTGAAATGAATACAGCCATTGCTTTTCATGTGAGAAGAGTGAAGCATGTTACACAAGTGGTATGATGTGTTCTGCACAAGCAGAACAGTTAACAGATACAAGTACTGCCTACTAACTGTTCCTACTTCTTTGCATTTTTCCAGTGAGGAAAACCAGAATGATGCCCAAATAATTAATTGCTTATGTTTATATACAGCATCTTCCATCATCTTCAAGCTCATTCAATTAAATTATGATAGTGTAGATTTTTAACTTGGTGCTGCTGAATAAACTGGCTAACATCATGATTTTACTAAGTCAAAGTTTAAACACTCACTTAAAATACAGCTTTTTCTTCAACAGCAAATTCTTCTTGTTAATATTACATCAAAGAGGTTATTTTGTTTTAAAAACATTTTTGTTTTTATCTTAACATTCCATAAACAGAGTTGGTGCATTTTAAGACCTTTTATAGTTAATTGCTGCAAATGGCCTTTCCTCAAGAAGCTAGGCCTGGAGCCTGCAGGGGTCTAAGAGTTATATTCCTGGGATTCCCTTTTTATTTCACAGGGGATTGAGATTTTCCTTTTTTATTTTAGAGGGGATTTAGAAGTGTTCAGCAGTTATATTCCAGCTATGTCAAAGATTACGGTAACTTTTGTGTGCTCAATACTGAGCCCAGTAAATGCTCAGTGTGAGCAATACTGTAGATTGGAACATGTTGTAAGAACCACAAATATTAGATCATGGTGTACCTCAATTTTATTTCTTTCTTTTGAAACATTCGACACATTTTATTAGCTGAATGTTAAAAATAAGATTTTTACAGTCACCTTAAGAGATACAAAAAGATCCCACTATAAAAAAAATACAAAAATTATGTGACAAAGTATTATTATTTAGAATTCAGTGTGCAGAAGACAGCCAAAGATTTTTTTAAGTACTTAGAGTTCATCATGCTGGTAGACATTGTACTCCTTTGCTGATATGAAGCCATCTCTATCATGGTCATTCTTCTTAAATATATCAGCTAAGATTTCATCATGGGCGGAAGGATGACGTTTTTTGCCATCTCTTGCAAATTCTTCTTTCAAATACTGGCTTATCTAGAACAAAAGAAAAAAGTCAAATCATTGTGGCTTTTATGTCAGTACTTAATCTAGCTATCTTCAAGGCCACTGGGAATATACAAGTAATGTACTGTGATTTCAGTGCAGACACATCTATGGCTTGTCTACAGAAGTGTGAGACTTACTAATGTATTAAAACAAATTTCAGGGAACTACAGCACAGTGTAGTTTGTGTAAACACACAGAAACCTTAGGTGATCAGCTGCAGCAGAGAGCTCAGGTAAAGATAAAACTGATGCAGCCACACCTATAGTTTTATAAATTATTTGTTTCAAATTATTTGTATCATATTACCTCAAGTTCAGAGAGCTTCTTGTCACCATCTTTGTCTATTTGATTAAATGCCTCAACACTACGAGGTCCTTTATTTACTGCATAAAGTTCAATCTCAAAGATCAGTGTTGCATTGGGTGGAATCTTGCCCTGTGCTATGAATAAAAGAAAAAAAGTGTTTAAGGAATCAGACACTGTGGGCAGAGATCACATATATGATAAATTCACAGGTATGGTAAAAGGTACTTTACGTATACTGTAAAATAATGTTTAAAATGTACATCTCAAAAAGCAGCAACAGAATGTAAGTCATCTGACTTGCTAAAAATCCCCACAGAAACTTCAAATTACTGGAATACTATGTCTGGCCTCTGAATTAAGAAAACAACTGTTAGAATTCTTTGTTCCTGGATCAAAGCATTTTCTGCCACCTGATGTAAAACCAGCACTGCCTACAAACACAGGTCCACACATCATGCATCTGGCAAAAAAAGGGAACTGAAAAGAGACAGCAACAAAGCAATGCAGTCTAAAGTAGTGCCAAAAGAGCATAAAAAATCATGCAGTGTAAAATTAAAATGTAAACATGCAAGCTGCCAAAGCCAGTGAGCATGACACTGTAACCTCAGAATTTTGAGCTTGTGTCCATCCTTTATAAACTGAAGAAAAGCTAAAAAATCTTCACTGTTTGTAAACAGATGATAAACAAGACTATTACACTACTCATCTAAAGTAGCCATAGCAAAAATAAGAGAGTTCAAAAGGTTTTAACTTTCCATGCTTTAGAAAAGTAGTTTTAAATACATCTGAATATAAATCAAGATTTAAATATACCTTATAAAAGAAAGATACAATACTAGAATTCAGTGCCAGCAGTTTACAAATATACATACCAACAAAGGAAAGACATGTAAAGATTTAGAAAGCCACATGCATCTTTTTTAATCAAGATTAGGCAGGTATCTTCCCCAGCATGCAGGAATACGCTGAGACAGAGGACAGGTGTGCTGTAGGAAAATACTACTTCTTCCTTCAAGTGCTACCTGGAACAAACAGTTAACACTAGTATTAAAGAACAGTTTTTATTTGTATCAGTGTTTTTCCTTTTTGTATGAAATTGTATTAAAGACAAAACTGATGCATTGAATTCTGACACATCAGTACCAAAATATTATTATGATAGAGCAGAGCTACCTTTTCACAAAAACTCCTACAGCCAGGTCAGACCTGAATTTATCTACATTTGAGTGCTCAAACACTGCATAATGGAACTACACATGTACTGGAACTTTTTTAAAGTAATCTGCACACTGAATTATCTTCTATTCAAATCAGATTTCATGCACTGTGCTGTTGCAATTACTGTGTAATGTGATAATGAGAGCCATTAACTATTCAGAATATAAGCAGTATTTTAAGCAAATTATTTCTATTTAGATTAATTGCATTATATTCCATTTTACTCAGAAGATGTAGATTTTCATTAGAAGGCTAAACAGGTAGCAGTCAAATAATAAAATGAAATATGACTGGAATTTAATATTTTAACACAATAATGCTGATATTGCTCATAGAGATCTTCCTTTTGCTTCATACTATGCATTACTTGGGAAAACACATAGGGTGGCACGGACTGAATTCTACTGGGAACTGCAAGGCCTGGGTGTGGGTCTGTGTCAGGACTACCTAAACTGCACAGCAATGAGCAGGGGCTGCACAGCTGCACTGCCTCCAAACGGGAGCACCAGTTCTCACAGACATTTACAACACTACGTATTGTAGGTTTCAAAGGGTAAAAAACACAGGAAAGACAAAGTTTAGAGTTAGAACTTTTACCATATCCTTGCTGTCCGTATGCTAATGATGGAGGAATTGTCACTTTCCGTTTTTCTCCAGGACACATGTTCATCATAGCAATATCTAAGCCTTTTATGACTTGTCCAACACCCAGAACAAACCATTTTGGATGACCTTCATTTTGCATCCGACTATTAAAAAAAAATTGTGTATGAGTAATATTAACATAATATTTTTATCATAAATATAACTTTTAGTTGCAGCTAGTAAGAAAATAGATTATTAGGACACAAGAATGTTAAGAGTGCAAGAATACAAAGTATAAATACATTTTCTGCTACATTTGTAATTTAAGGTGAGATTTTGATATATGTAAGGGTAAGCCTTTTTTTAAAAAAAACCAAAAGCTCGTTTTTGAACTTCCTATAAAAACATCCAATCTTCCTGACCATGCATGCTGCAGGCCAGAAACAAGGTGCCACTGCAGGAAGTCTCCAAGTGGGGAGCACTGAAAAGTGAAAATGTTCTCAGCAGCTCACAACACTGCAGGACGGGATGGGATGGGAGTGCAGGTGTGTGCTGGGGGAACCTGGCAATGCTGGCTGCAGCACTGTGTGCTCACCTACCCCTCTGGCCAGCTCAGGCAGCCAGTGCTTGAGGCAGCTTCTGGTCACACGAGGCCTCCCCAGTGCGGGCACTACACCGAACAGCAGCTGAGCAAAACATCCAGAGAACAACGCTCTATGCACCAGTCAGCCACTTCAACAGGCAAAGAAATGCAACCTAAATGGTACTGTTAAATGTAGAATTATCCTATATACTGAGTGTTTTTCTTAAATTATAGAAATGGGGGAATGGATCAAGATTTTGTAATAAGCTAAGCTATTGTCTAAGGACAGATGAATGGGGCAAAGTGAAAAAGCAAAGGAGGAAATGATAACTTTGCAGTAAAATGGGCGGCACAACAAATCAAGCAGGGAAACACAAACAGGCACGAGGCAAAAAGGCTGCAAACCATCAGTATAATAGTGTGGTTGCACTGCACAGTGCCAACTATGTGGAAGTGGATGCTATATAAAAGTTGCTGCCTGAAATTGTCAGTGTGCATTCCTACCACGAACTCCTCCTCCCAGCCCGAGTTTTTCTGCACAGGTTACAGCACAGAACACGGCAAGTATCAACATAATGTTGTTTTATCTCCACTCTGACAAAGGGGGCTCCGTATGAGGTGTGGGCTACAGGCTCTCGAAGTTTCTCCCTAGGGACCCTAGGACTCCTAGGCACTCCCTAGTTTGACTCTAGGGAAACTCTGCATCCTTCAACACTCGGCTGAGCAAAAGCGAAGTACTACTGCTGGTGTGGTCAGTACGGGCCCCGAGCTGTGCCCACTCCGGGAGGGCCACAAGCCCCGCTTGTTCGGGGGAGCGGAGCGGCTGTGCCAAGCGTCCGCCCG